GTTGCTGCCAAAGAACAAACCTAGTGTTGCTGCGGAAGAACAAACCTAGTGTTGCTGCCAAAGAACAAACCTAGTGTTGCTGCGGAAGAACAAACCTAGTGTTGCTGCGGAAGAACAAACCTAGTGTTGCTGCGGAAGAACAAACCTAGTGTTGCTGCGGAAGAACAAACCTAGTGTTGCTGCGGAAGAACAAACCTAGTGTTGCTGCGGAAGAACAAACCTAGTGTTGCTGCGGAAGAACAAACCTAGTGTTGCTGCGGAAGAACAAACCTAGTGTTGCTGCGGAAGAACAAACCTAGTGTTGCTGCGGAAGAACAAACCTAGTGTTGCTGCGGAAGAACAAACCTAGTGTTGCTGCGGAAGAACAAACCTAGTGTTGCTGCGGAAGAACAAACCTAGTGTTGCTGCGGAAGAACAAACCTAGTGTTGCTGCGGAAGAACAAACCTAGTGTTGCTGCGGAAGAACAAACCTAGTGTTGCTGCGGAAGAACAAACCTAGTGTTGCTGCGGAAGAACAAACCTAGTGTTGCTGCGGAAGAACAAACCTAGTGTTGCTGCGGAAGAACAAACCTAGTGTTGCTGCGGAAGAACAAACCTAGTGTTGCTGCGGAAGAACAAACCTAGTGTTGCTGCGGAAGAACAAACCTAGTGTTGCTGCGGAAGAACAAACCTAGTGTTGCTGCGGAAGAACAAACCTAGTGTTGCTGCGGAAGAACAAACCTAGTGTTGCTGCGGAAGAACAAACCTAGTGTTGCTGCGGAAGAACAAACCTAGTGTTGCTGCGGAAGAACAAACCTAGTGTTGCTGCGGAAGAACAAACCTAGTGTTGCTGCGGAAGAACAAACCTAGTGTTGCTGCGGAAGAACAAACCTAGTGTTGCTGCGGAAGAACAAACCTAGTGTTGCTGCGGAAGAACAAACCTAGTGTTGCTGCGGAAGAACAAACCTAGTGTTGCTGCGGAAGAACAAACCTAGTGTTGCTGCGGAAGAACAAACCTAGTGTTGCTGCGGAAGAACAAACCTAGTGTTGCTGCGGAAGAACAAACCTAGTGTTGCTGCGGAAGAACAAACCTAGTGTTGCTGCGGAAGAACAAACCTAGTGTTGCTGCGGAAGAACAAACCTAGTGTTGCTGCGGAAGAACAAACCTAGTGTTGCTGCGGAAGAACAAACCTAGTGTTGCTGCGGAAGAACAAACCTAGTGTTGCTGCGGAAGAACAAACCTAGTGTTGCTGCGGAAGAACAAACCTAGTGTTGCTGCGGAAGAACAAACCTAGTGTTGCTGCGGAAGAACAAACCTAGTGTTGCTGCGGAAGAAGAAACCTAGTGTTGCTGCGGAAGAACAAACCTAGTGTTGCTGCGGAAGAACAAACCTAGTGTTGCTGCGGAAGAACAAACCTAGTGTTGCTGCCAAAGAACAAACCTAGTGTTGCTGCCAAAGAACAAACCTAGTGTTGCTGCCAAAGAACAAACCTAGTGTTGCTGCCAAAGAACAAACCTAGTGTTGCTGCCAAAGAACAAACCTAGTGTTGCTGCCAAAGAACAAACCTAGTGTTGCTGCCAAAGAACAAACCTAGTGTTGCTGCCAAAGAACAAACCTAGTGTTGCTGCCAAAGAACAAACCTAGTGTTGCTGCCAAAGAACAAACCTAGTGTTGCTGCCAAAGAACAAACCTAGTGTTGCTGCCAAAGAACAAACCTAGTGTTGCTGCCAAAGAACAAACCTAGTGTTGCTGCCAAAGAACAAACCTGGTGTTGCTGCCAAAGAACATACCTAGTGTTGCTGCCAAAGAACAAACCTAGTGTTGCTGCCAAAGAACAAACCTAGTGTTGCTGCCAAAGAACAAACCTGGTGTTGCTGCCAAAGAACAAACCTAGTGTTGCTGCCAAAGAACAAACCTAGTGTTGCTGCCAAAGAACAAACCTAGTGTTGCTGCCAAAGAACAAACCTGGTGTTGCTGCCAAAGAACAAACCTAGTGTTGCTGCCAAAGAACAAACCTAGTGTTGCTGCCAAAGAACAAACCTAGTGTTGCTGCCAAAGAACAAACCTAGTGTTGCTGCCAAAGAACAAACCTAGTGTTGCTGCCAAAGAACAAACCTAGTGTTGCTGCCAAAGAACAAACCTGGTGTTGCTGCCAAAGAACAAACCTAGTGTTGCTGCCAAAGAACAAACCTAGTGTTGCTGCCAAAGAACAAACCTAGTGTTGCTGCCAAAGAACAAACCTAGTGTTGCTGCCAAAGAACAAACCTAGTGTTGCTGCCAAAGAACAAACCTAGTGTTGCTGCCAAAGAACAAACCTAGTGTTGCTGCCAAAGAACAAACCTAGTGTTGCTGCCAAAGAACAAACCTAGTGTTGCTGCCAAAGAACAAACCTAGTGTTGCTGCCAAAGAACAAACCTAGTGTTGCTGCCAAAGAACAAACCTAGTGTTGCTGCCAAAGAACAAACCTAGTGTTGCTGCGGAAGAACAAACCTAGTGTTGCTGCGGAAGAAGAAACCTAGTGTTGCTGCGGAAGAACAAACCTAGTGTTGCTGCGGAAGAACAAACCTAGTGTTGCTGCGGAAGAACAAACCTAGTGTTGCTGCCAAAGAACAAACCTAGTGTTGCTGCGGAAGAACAAACCTAGTGTTGCTGCGGAAGAACAAACCTAGTGTTGCTGCGGAAGAACAAACCTAGTGTTGCTGCGGAAGAACAAACCTAGTGTTGCTGCGGAAGAACAAACCTAGTGTTGCTGCGGAAGAACAAACCTAGTGTTGCTGCGGAAGAACAAACCTAGTGTTGCTGCGGAAGAACAAACCTAGTGTTGCTGCGGAAGAACAAACCTAGTGTTGCTGCGGAAGAACAAACCTAGTGTTGCTGCGGAAGAACAAACCTAGTGTTGCTGCGGAAGAACAAACCTAGTGTTGCTGCCAAAGAACAAACCTAGTGTTGCTGCCAAAGAACAAACCTAGTGTTGCTGCCAAAGAACAAACCTAGTGTTGCTGCCAAAGAACAAACCTAGTGTTGCTGCCAAAGAACAAACCTAGTGTTGCTGCCAAAGAACAAACCTAGTGTTGCTGCCAAAGAACAAACCTAGTGTTGCTGCCAAAGAACAAACCTAGTGTTGCTGCCAAAGAACAAACCTAGTGTTGCTGCCAAAGAACAAACCTAGTGTTGCTGCCAAAGAACAAACCTAGTGTTGCTGCCAAAGAACAAACCTAGTGTTGCTGCCAAAGAACAAACCTAGTGTTGCTGCCAAAGAACAAACCTAGTGTTGCTGCCAAAGAACAAACCTAGTGTTGCTGCCAAAGAACAAACCTAGTGTTGCTGCGGAACCCATGCTCCTAGCAAAGCTGACATAGGCGCTAGTCTTAGAACCGGATCTTTGCATCTCGAGAGCTGGAACGTGTTCCCTGCCTGCTGCCCCCTCCGTCAATCCCTCTTAGCCCAATCCCGACGCCCACAAGGTCCCTGTTTGCTTAGCCAGAAATCGCGGGCTCTCGCTGCGCGGGGTGCTATATGATCCCCGCCGCCTCTCACTCGCCTACACGTCACGTTCGTGTCCCCTCGCCGCACTCGTTTCCCCTCGCCGCACTCGTTTCCCCTCGCCGCACTCGTTTCCCCTCGCCGCACTCGTTTTCCCTCGTCGCACTCACTTCCCCTCGTCGCACTCACTTCCCCTCGTCGCACTCACTTCCCCTCGTCGCTCTCATTTCCCCTCGTCGCACTCGTTTCCCCTCGTCGCACTCGTTTCCCCTCGTCGCACTGATTTCCGCTCTGTTGCCCACTCTCCCCCTCTGTCGCCCTCACTCCCCCTCGGCGGTAGAGAGTGTGATCAGGAAGGATAGAGAGAGAAGGCTGGAAGGGATGAGGGAGGGCGGGACGAAATGGGAGCGAGATAGCGGGAAGGAATGGGAGAGGGCGGGGGGAACTTCGGGCGACGGGGGGAACTTCGGGCGACGGGGGGAACTTCGGGCGACAGGGGGAACTTTGGCCGACGGGGGAGGGGGAACGATCATGATGGGGAGGGAGGGCTAGGGCAATGGAAGATAGGTGGTGAGGGAAGGATAGAGGGAGGTGGAATGGAAGGGCGCGTTCATGAGCAGAGTGAGGGAAAGGGTGGGAGAGGAGGAAGGAGAGAGGCGGGGAGGGAAGGGCGGATTCATGGGCGGAGGGGATGATAGAGATGATAGGAGGGGAGGGATGGAAGGAGGGGAGGGATGATAGGAGGGGAGGGATGGAAGGAGGGGAGGGATGATAGGAGGGGAGGGATGGAAGGAGGGGAGGGATGAGAGGAGGGGAGGGATGGAATGCGGTACAAAGGGCGTTAAGGGAATACGTGGGAAGAGGGCGCACTGTAAGTGGGGGAGGGAAGGGATGAAGTAGGGGGGGGGAGGAAGGAGGAAGTAGGGGGGGGGAAGGTGGTAGGTGGGTTGTTGGGTAACGAGCCATGGCAGCAGTTTTTTTTATTATTATTAATTTGGGCTTATGCATACCATAATAAGTTCTGTTGTCAGGAAGTGAAGTCTCAATACCTGAATCGTCTTTTTTGAAAATTACAGAATTTGTAAGAACAGTGTTGAGCATGTTTTGTTCCTCCCTGAATCAGTTTCACGCACTTGTTCATGAGTGACGGAAGAGGTGGGGCGAGCACAGTCACCTCCGCCCACCCCCCCTCACCACCCCTCCCCTTGATTCTCGGAAGCAGGGGTGTTGAAGTTGCGTGGTGAGTGCTGTCTTTCATCGCCACCTGATTCCGCTTTTGCCCCGCCCATATTTTCGAAATTCCTAGTTTTCAGGCTTTCGTCAACACCAATTCAAGCTTCATGATTTTTGAAGATTTACCATGTGGTACTCGGGCTTTAAATTGCATTTCCTTCTTTTCTTGCAGCTGCCTATGGTGCTTGCGTTGACTCAAGTTTGAGTTATCCTTTTTGCTGTCACGGCATGGGTTGTGGCGTCCCAACGTGATTTCTGCGTCCCAACTCCTTCCTTCTTCACTCCTTCCTTCACCACCTGGCAGCTTTGGTTGCCATTTCCCCAACCAATCCGTTTGGCTTGACGCCATTGCTGGGAGCTGCACATCTGATTATGGTACGCGTCCAGCCCATCGAAATTGCAAATGGATACTCAAGTCAAACTTACCATACCAAGACATACCATCAAATTTCCAAGGGTTCTTGTCCGCCATGTGTTTAATATCCAAACAAAAATTGTGAAGGCCTATTCTCCTTGACTTGTTGTCTGCGCTGCAGAAACATGCTGCGTCAGCCAAGGATAACTCTCTCCTGCTGTCGGCTTATAGTCAAATGAGGAAGGCGAAAATTCATCCATCACCCACCACTGCAGATATTGTCATCAGGTAAACCTATCCTACATTTTGTTGTAGTAAACTCAGCAGTGGCTGGTGCATGGTGCACACACCTAACATCATTGTTTCCATACCTGATTCGAAATTGCACCTTGGGTTGTGAATCATACCGGTATTGTTGCAGTGCTTTGCTTGCCCAAGGAGAGGATGTCCTGGCATCTGAACTTGCTGACAGCTTTCAACAAAAAGGGGTTTCTCTGAAGAAGGAAGTAGCAAGGAAGCTTCAAGAGGCAGCGCCTTCGTTGTGATGGGCCAAACTGTGGACCATGTAGTAGTTAGTAAGCATGACAATGCTTATTGGATTGGATGAAAGTCCATTGCTTATGGGAAGGCGATTTGATTGGTTATTAAAAATTTTATGGTTTAAGGAGGTGACAATTAATCGCTGCTGTGCTGTCGTTTTACATTCTCTGTGGCTGGTGTCACTCCACTCCGCTGAGGCAATCCTGTAAACCCGAAATCTTGTGCAGATCCTGCTAAGGGACTTCACTCATTGTATTTGTTGCTGAGTTAATCCTACTCATTATTAATCGAATTTTCTTTTCAGCATTCTCTAAAAGAAGAATCGCCTGCTTTTGTACACTTTTTGGAGTGTAGGAGAATGCTTTGAATCACTGTGCTTATCGAAGTGTATTGTGAAGAGGGGGGAGGGACAATAGTGCTTGTACGGAAGGCCGAGCAGGGAAAGCAAGCAGGGCAAGGCGACGAGACGACAGACAGCTGTGCAGCGCTGCACTGTAGCGCATAGATACACCTGCTGCACTCACACTGCCTGTACACTCTCCCCCGCCCCGCCCACCACCAACCCCAGCACATGGCTGCCCGCCAGCCACACAGCACAGCTGTAGGCTTTTCCAGACGTAAAGCGGCGCCGAGGACGTAGTTACATTGAAGAATAATGGTTGTCGCCAATTTTATTTAATTTATAACGACTCCTAGCATGCGCGGAGTTAGAGGCGCGGAGGAGCAAGCGATGATCGTTAGGGCACGAAGGGGCGAATGTTGGGGCAAGAAGGGTGGGGGAAGGAGGGCGCGATAGTATGAGCAGCAGCGGCGGCAGCGGGATGTTGGACGCGCGAGTCAACGCCGTCCCTTCCCCGCCGCACTTCGCCTCCGCTCCTTCTTCCCTTTTTGACCGCAATCGCGCGATGATGACGTCAGACGCCATGACGTCACACCGCAACTCGATGACGTCAGGCCGCAAAGCTGTATCGCCAGGGCATAAACGAGTCTTAGCAGGGCGCGGGGAAGCGGAGCCGACAGGGGCGCGCGGCAACGATAGCGCGATGGCGATGGAAGATGATTGCTTCTTAAAGCCGTATTACCCTCCTCCCGGCACTCGCCCCTCTCGCATCCCCAATGGCGACTCTCGTATCGGCCATAGCGATAGCGCCGCCTTCTCTCGCAGTCGCTCCAGCTCTCCCTCCCCCGCTCACTCCGAACCCTCTTCCGCCCATGCCTCGCCCGCCCCCGCGCGCCCGCCGTCCGCCCACAGGAGCGCGACAACTGCCCCTCCGCGGCCCATCTCGCCTCTGCCCCCGTATGCTGTGCGGCGCAGACCGGGCGCGGAGGGGCGCGCGGATGGGCGCGCGGGGGTAGGGGCGGAGCTGCGGGAGGACAGTCCGGGGCGCGATGGCGCGCTGATGGGCGCCCGCGCGCCTGTCGTGCGCGATGGAGCCGGCGGAGGCGGGGAAAAAGGGGGAGCGGAGAGGGTGAGGGCAGGGGGAGAGGGCGCGAGGGGAGGCGGAGAGGAGGCGAGGGAAGGGGGCGTGACGCGCGGCAGCAGCAGGCCCCGGCGCGCGAGAGTGACCAGCAGTGGCGACGCCGTCAACGCGGGCGCCGCCAGTGCGGGCGCGGTTCCAGGACCAGGCACAGCAGCAGCGGACGCCGCATACACAGCAGATGCGCAAGCAGCAGCAGCGGCGCCGCTGACGCGCAGATTTCCCACGGACCCGCCCACACTCCATTCCGCCAAGCCTGCTGCGCCACTCAGCAACAGCGGCGAGGGGGGGGCGGGTGCGCCCGAGGGGACGTGGCCGGGCGAAATGGTGGGGGAGGGGGGAAGACGGGGGGAAGCGGGGGAGCAGACGCGGGTTGGGGCGAGGCCGGGCAGTGGTAGAGCGGGGATGAGACGAGGGCCCGGGTTGGGGCAGGCGGGCGCGCGCATGGGCGCGGGGATGGGAGGGGGAGGCGGGGCGCAGAGGCCTGTGACTGCTGGCGGCAGGCTGGCAGTGGCAGGGGCCGGCAACAGCCAAGGCGGTGAGGGCGGCGAAGCAGCAGGCAGCGAGGCGGGGGTGGGCGATGGGGGGAGCTGGAAGGCCCGCCAGACACTCGCTCAGCAGGGGGCGGGGCAGCAGGGGCTGGGGAAGCAGGGGTTGTGGCAGCAGCAGGGCAGCGCAGGAGGGCAGAGTGTGGCGGGGCAGGAGCAGCAGAGGAGGGAGGGGCGGCATGTGCGGCAGGCGAGTCTGCAAGTGGAGGCAGTGCAGCGCCTGCACGGCACCAAGGGCTCCGCCTCCCCTCCCCATGCAGCAGCCATGCCCCTGCCCCGCCGTCCCCACACCGCCCTCGCCCGCTCCCCCTCGCCCTCCCCCTTTCCTCCGCCCTCCACAGCTGCGCCGCCTGACGCGCGTTCCTCCTCGTCCCGCTCCGCCACCTCCTCCCCCTCCCCCCCTATCCGCCCCCAGCCCCCCTCGCCCCAAGAGGTCCGCCCTCCCCGCGGCCTCTCGCAGTCCCCCCCGCGTGGGGGCCCCTCCGCGCCCCTGCACGCGGCAGCATGCGCGGAAGCAGGGGGGGGCAGCGAGACCGAGACAGGGGGGTCCGCGAGGGCGGGCGAGAGGGGCGGAGGAGGGGGGCGGGGTGGCGTGCGGGCGATGGGGCGGAGCAAGACGAGTGGCATGGGGCGGCCGAAGAGTGTGATGGGCGTGGAGCGAGCGCAAACGGGAATGGAAAGAGGTGTGATGCGCGCAGAGGCAGGGGGGGCGACGGAGGGAGCAGATGGAGGGGCGGCCGGTCAACGAGGCATGCCTGACGTGGCGCACAGTTCCCTGCGCCAGCAGCCGCTGCATGGTCCAGTCAGCGCTGACGTGGCACCAGCAGGAGCAGCAGCTGCGAGCTCACCGTGGGAGTCAGATAATGGTGGTGAGAGTGAGAGATTAGGTGCAGGGAATGGAGAGGGAGGAGTTATCGCGGAGGGCAGGAGAGTCCGTGCAGGCGGGCAGAGCAGCAAAGGCAGCAGCAGCAGCAGCAGCGATCCCGTGCCACGAGCAGGCGGCAACGGACGGCTGCGATCGAGTGTGAGCTTCGGGCAGGCCGGTGCGTGCGATCTGCACTCCGCTGCTGCCGCCACCCTCCGTTCTGCCGCCGCTGCCATCACCGCTGCCAGTGACACCGGCACTGGCACTAGCAACGGCAGCACGGAGGGCAGCAGCGGGCGAGGCGCGGAAGGGGAGGGGGCGGACGGTGCAGGGCGCAGGGCGGACATGGGGGGGGGAAGCAGGGCGGGCGGGGCGGAGGGCCATGCAAGGGGAGGGGCGGGGCGGCGGTTGACTCGCGCTCTGAGCGCCATGGAGGGGCGCGGCGGGCATGCGCCCTGGGGGCGGGGGGCAGGGGTGGGGGAGGGCGGTGGAGGGGGTGGTGGTGGAGCGGAAGAGGGCGCCAAGGGACTGAGTGAAGGGGAGAACGCAAGTGGTGGGCTGGGGAGCCGTGGGGGGGAGAGAGAGCGTGCACAGAAGGTCGCGGGTAAGGAAGGCACGGAGGTGGAGGGGAAGGGAGGGGTGGGTGCAGGCGACATGAGCAGGGTTGATGGCAGGGGAAGGCAGGGGCGAGAAGGAGCAGTGGTGGCCCCACAAGCAGCAGGTGGGGAAGGGGGAGCAGCAGCAGGGGTGGTGAGAGGCGACACACAAGCAGGTGCCTCTGTGGCTGTTGCCTCCGCCCCTTCCCCCGGTAGTGAGTCGGGGAGGGGCAGGGGCGTGCAGATGGGTGGGGAGAGGTGGACAGCGGCACAGAGGGCCGCAGCAAGGGACATGCAGTGGGAGCGGGAGCGGGATAGGGAGAGCGGCAGAGGTAGAGCGGCGCGCGGGAGAGAGAGGAACCGGTCGAACCCTGCCACTCCCACAGGTGCCTCCCGCACACCACGAGGGGCCGTGGAGGGTGGGGGGACGCCGAGGGGTGTGGCGGAGGGAGGAGGGGGTGCTGCGGGTGAAGGGGCGGAGGGAGGAGGCGGGTCAGGGGAAGAGAAAGCGGGGCGTGCACGTGCAAGGCGGGGTAAGAAGGGTGTGGGCGAGGGGGGGGTGAGGCGAGGGGAAGCAGGTGATGAGGGCGAGAGGAGTGGCGGGGCGAGTGATGGGATGGTGGATGGAGGGAGTGTGAGGCAGCAGAGAGGCTTAGAGGATGGGCGGAAAGGGCGAGACGGAGATAGAAGGGGTGGGGAGAGCAGTGAAAGTGGTGTGGTTGGAAGGGAGAGGGAGGGGAGAGAAGTGGCAGAAGTGGAGGGTCTAGGAGGGGAAGGGCCTGTGGGCATGGCGGGATTGGGTTCATCTGGCTTCAAGGGGTTGGCAGTGGCACAACGACGGATGCAGCAGCAGCAGACAGAGCAACTGCAACAGCAGCCTCAGCAGCCGCAACAGCAGCCGCAGAGGGAGAGGGAGGGGCAGGGGTGGCAGCATGGGCAGGCAGTGCAGGGGGAGGCAGAGAATGGGAGTGGCAGCAGAGGGGGCAGCGCACAGGTGGGCGAGGCGGAGGCGGGTGCAGTGGGTGGTGGGGGCGGGGTGGGTGGGGTGGGCGGGGTGAGGGGGCGGCGAGGAGAGGTGGTGACAAGCCGGCCGTGGCACGCGCGTGTGGGGGAGGGGAGGGGTGGGCGCGCGTGGGACGAGTCAGCAGCCATCGGGGCGCCGGTCACGCTGCTTGCTGCCGTGGGCAGCGGCAGTGCGGCGGAACTGGCACTACGGCCCATGCCATTCACTGGGGTTGTTGCTGCTGCTTCCACGGTTGCTGGTGGCGGGGGTGCATGTGAGCCCATGCCGCTGACGCCGCCTGTGCTCTCCCTCACGGAGCAGCGCCTGCTGGCAGCCCGGCACGGCGCAGCAGGGAGTGCAGGGGGCGGAGCAGCAGGGAGTGCAGGGGGCGGAGCAGCAGGGGGAGCAGCAGTGGGGGGCGGCAGGAGGGGGGCGCGGGCGATGGTGAAGAGCATGTCCATGTCCGCCGCTGATCTGCACCTCGTGCCCTCGCCCCACGCCACTCCGCCCCCTGATGCTTCTGCCGGGAGGGTTGCCATGGGCACCGGTGTAAGCACCGGCACGGGCATGGGCGTGGGGATGGCAGCAGGTGCAGGCTCTCGCTCCATGGGCATCTCTCGCACATCCTCCTCCTCCGCCCGCCCCGCCTTCACACTCGCTGCTTCTGCTTCTGCTGCTGCTGCTGCTGCTGCTGCCGCAGCTGGTGTCCCAGCAGAGAGTGCGGGAGCCCACCCACCATCCATGCACCCCACGCACCCAGGCCATCCTGGGTCAGCCAGTGACCCCTCCTCAGCCGCCATGTTCCTGGGCATGGGCCTCCCTGCTGCCCGCGCCTCTGATACCTCCGAGCGCCTGCTGCGCCTCACAGCGCGGTGGAGCGAGGTGCAAAGCGGTGGCGGCGGGCGGACGGGGGCAGGAGTGCACACGGATACTCCGAGGCTGGGCAGCGGCGTGGGGGGCTCCATGGACCTGCGGCGAGCAGCCTTCCATGCCAGCATGGGCTCCGGCACGGGCATGGGCGCAGGCATGGGCATGGGCATGGGCGGAAGCATGGGCGCGGGAGGAGGGAGGGTGGGGGGGGGCATACCGGCGTGTTCGAGTGCGGAGGCGGATGTGCCTGCATGGGCGGCTCCCCAGGGGGACAGTGGGGGCGCAGAAGCAGGTGGGGGGAGCGCAGCAGTAGTTGCAGGTGCAAGAGGTGGTGGGGCGGGCAGGCGGGCAGGAGGAGGCGGTGTGAGCGGCCGGTCTGGGCTGGGAGGAGAGGGGGGCGTCACCCGCGGCGGGTCGGGTGTGAGTGGTGCGATGAGAGCAGGTGCACCTGCAGCTGCTGCTCTGCGGCGCCATGGCAGCATGTCTCTGCACCAGCAGCTCGTGGCTCCTCCTGTGGGCACGTGGCAGGAGCAGGCCGTGCAAGGCAAGCAGCAGCTCAAGATGAAAAGTGCCACAGCCGCTGCCACTGCCGCTGCCACTGCCGCCGCTGCTGCTGCTGAGCCAGTTGTTGCCACTGCTGCCAGCACTGGTATTTCTGCGTCTGCAGTGGCAGCAGCGAGTGGGGGCGCGTTGCAGGAGAAGGCAGTGAGAGCGTATCCATTGGCGAGGGCGCACACGACAGCTGCTCGCAGCACACTGCGCACGCCTCCCTCTGCTGCTCTCTTTGACTCTCGCAGCTTCAGCAGCCGCGCCCCTCCCCCTTCCACCACCACAGGCGGTGCTACCACCACAAGCATTGGCAGCAGCAGCACAGTGAGCAGCAGTGGCATGGTGAGTGGCAGCACAGCGAGCAGCAGTGGCGGGGTGAGCAGCAGCAGAAGGCTGAGTGTGAGCAGCTCGTCCAGCGCCATTAGCACTGGCCGCAGTGCCACTCTCACCGGCAGAATGCTCGCCAGCAGCTCTTTCACCACCACCACCACGCTCACCACTAGCACCCTTTCCACCAGCAGCACCGCCGGTGGCAGTGCGAGCAGCAGCAGCAGCAGGGGCTTCCATCGTGCTGCCACTCTGAACGCGCGCTCCTTCGGCGTCTCCCTCAACGCGCCTGCCCTCTCTGCCCTGCCTGCGCCTCACGTGCATGGGACGCCCTCCTTCCCTGCCGCAGCTGGTGCTGTGCCCGGCACGGGCAGCACCCGGCATGAGCTTGCCCGCAGCGCCAGCAGCAGCGCTGCCAGGCTTAGGGGCGCGGCGGTGGGGGCCGGGGTGAGAGGCGGTGGGGAAAAAGGGGCGTTGAGGAGTGATGGTGGGCGGGAACAGAGCGGAGGAGGGAGAGAGGGGAGCGGAGGAGGGAGAGAGGGGAATGGAGGTGCAAGAGAGGGGAGTGGAGGAGCAAGAGAGGTGAGTGGAGGAGCAAGAGAGGTGAGTGGAGGAGGGAGAGATGGTAGCAGAGGAAGAAGAGGGGGTAGTGGAAAAGGGAGAGAGGGGAGTGGAGGAGGAAGAGAGGGAAGTGGAGGAGTAAGAGAGGGGAGTGGAGGAGTAAGAGAGGGGAGTGGAGGAGTAAGAGAGGGGAGTGGAGGGGACGGTGGGTGGGCAGAGGCAGCAGCAGCAGTGGCATTTGGGGCAGCAGCAAGTGGGGCAGCAGCAAGTGGATCAATGGCAGGGAGGTCAGGTGCAAGGGCGAAAGCGATGAGGGGAAGAGCAGCAGGGGGAACCACAGAGAAGAGAGTGGACGCAGGGGCAGCAGGAGGAGGGGAAGAAGCAGCAAGGGGAGCAGGAGCAGCTGGAGAAGCAGCAGGAGGAGGAGGAGCAGCAGGGGCAGCAGCAGCAGCAGCAGCAGCAGGAGGAGGAGGAGGAGGAGGAGCAGCTGGGGCAGCAGCAGCAGGAGCAGCAGGGGCAGCACCAGCAGTAGCAGGGGCAGCAGGGGCAACAGGTGCAGCAGGGGCAGGGAGCAGCAGGGGAGGCGGCAGGGTGGCAGGGAGGACACTGCGCAAGATGGCGAGCGACAACTTCCGCTCCTCCGCCCGCCCCATGGGCAAGGCCTTGGGCGGCCATGGGGGCATGGCGGGTGAAGGGGGTATGGGCATGGGCATGGGCATGGGCATGGGCATGGGCATGGGCATGGGCATGGGCATGGGCATGGGCGTGGATGGGGTGAGCGGGGGAGGCAACAGAGCAGTGAGGCTCTCCTCTACAGCCAGCTCGCTGGACCTCGCTGTGCCCTCTGCTGCTGCTCTTGCTGCCTCCGCCTCTGCTGCTCGCCCCGCTAGTACTGCTGGCATGGGCACAGCGGGGTGGAGGGGAGATGCACGGAGGAGAGGGGGCAATGAGGGCGGTGGGGAGGAGCGGCGGGGGGAGGAGGAAGGGAAGGCGGGCAAGGAGGAGGCGGTGACGCCTTCCAAGGCGAGCCGGGAGGACAGTGTCACGCCCAGCCACCTCTCCCGCGCCCGCCGAGCTGTTCTGAGTGCCGCTGGTAAGGAGCGCCGGCGCGCTGCTGGGAAGGGTGGTGAGAGGGGTGAGGGGGAGGAGGAAGAGGAGGAAGAGGAGGAGGAAGACGAGGAGGAAGAAGAGGATGGAGAGGAGGAGGAAGAGGAGGAGGAGGCTGAGGAGGTGGGAGGGGAGGAGGGAGTGACAGATGCTGAGAGCGAGGAGGATTCAAGCATTCCCGTGGCCGCCCAGGCAGTCAGTGCGCATCATAGCAGCGGAGAGCAGAGTGGAGCAGCAGCAGGGGGCAAGGGGAAGGCGGGGCTGCTGAGCAAGGCGGCCAAGGGCATGCGGGGTCTGGGCGACCGCATCACTCGGGCGCGGCTGAGGCTGCTGCAGGGCGGGCAGGCGGACGTGCTGGGGAGGGGGTTCTCGGACGTGCGTGTGGAGTATGACGTGGACGGGGGCGAGCAGGTGGGCAGCGGGCAGTTCGGTGTCATCCGTGTGGTGACGCACCGGGCGAGTGGGGAGCGCCTGGCATGCAAGTCCATCAGCAAGACATGCCTCAAGGTGACTCTTCCTGCCAATCCTGCGCTCATGCTTTCTCTTTCCCCTCGCACCTCTCCGTTCCTCTCACTGTTCCGCGTGCATCTCATCTCAGCAGAAACCCACCCTTTGACCTAGAGGCTAGCGCAACCCATCCATCTCTTTTTCCTGTGGTTCACCTCACTGTGCTTCTTTGCTTGCGCCTGTGCGTGGCCTCCATGCACGCACCTCACCCCCACGGCACGGCACGGCACGGGGGCAGTCGAAGGCGGATGCGGCAGACATAAGGAGGGAGGTGGCCATTCTGGAGCAGCTCAAAGACCACCCCAACGTCGCCCGCCTCACTATGATTCTTTGCCTTCCCCTGTGCGTACCCTCATGCACCACCCCCGCCCCCCAACCCGCACCTCCACCCCCCACCCCCCATGGGGCGTGCAGTCGAAGGCGGATGCAGCGGACATAAGGAGGGAGGTGGCCATTCTGGAGCAGCTCAAGGACCACCCCAACGTTGCCCGCCTCACTGCTGCCTTTGAAGACCCCAAGGTACACCACTCGCCCTGCTGGCCCGTGCTCCCGTGGCTATCCACCCTCACTGACCCATCTCTTGCACTCCAATGTTTCTTGACAGTTCTATTCTTCGCCAGCCTATGCTCCTCCCACTCCCTCAGTCTGTGCCCCCTTCAACGCTCACCCTCTGTCCCACATCCTCGCTCCTAAACTCTTACTCCTCACCACTCCACCCCGGCGTCCTCCCCATTCTGCCACAAGCCACCACTCAACAGCACCTTTCGCATGCATCTTCTGCACACACTCAATAGTGTGCTCACACTCAATAGTGAGCTCACACTCAATAGTGTGCTCACACTCTATAACAGCTCTCCAGCTGCCCAAATCCTTGCTACTGTCCGCTTCCCTGCGCCCCGCACTTGCCAACCCAGTGAGCATTGCTCCCCGTTCCCCCCCATCTCGCCCCGTCTCCCCCTGGTGTATCCACGGGGCAGGAGGTGCATCTGATGATAGAGCTCTTCCACCGTTTGCCACGTGGGCCCTCGCCAGCCCCTTGAGCGTTGTTGCCCCTCTAAACCCGTCCCCCCTTCTTTCCCTGTCTTTCCCCAACCCCCCCCCCCCCCCCCCCCCCACCAGGAGGTGCATCTGGTGATGGAGCTGTGTGAGGGCGGGGAGCTGTTCGACCGCCTCAAGGCGAAGCGAGTGTACGAGGAGGGCGAGGCAGCAGCGGTGCTGCGCACGCTGGTGGACGTGTTGAGGCACTGCCACGCCATGGGGGTGGTGCACCGCGATGTGAAGCCCGAGAACATCCTGCTCGTGTCCCAGCACAGCGACACCGACGTTAAAGTCATAGACTTTGGCATCGCTGCCTTCTACAAGCCTTGTGAGCCATGGGGTTAATCACAGTGAACACGTGCTTGCTCTTCCCTCACTTACACCGCTGCGCTTCTCCTCTCCCTACTCCCTGTCATACCTCTTGTTTTCCCTCCCTTCCCCAACCCCTCACCCAACCGTGCTCACGACAACCTTCATGGATACACCTGCATCTCCCGCGCACGCATCTGCTTGTCTTTCTCTCGCCTCACATAACCCTCCCCACCCCACTCATGCATGATGCCCCCCTGGCAGCGCGCCCACTGACGGAGTTTGTGGGGTCGCACTACTACATGGCGCCGGAGGTCATAGAGGGCAGCTACGGGCCACCGGCGGACGTGTGGAGTGCAGGAGTGGTGCTGTACGTGCTGCTGTCAGGGGTGCCGCCCTTCTGGGCGCGCTCGGAGGACGGCATCATGCACGCCATCCTGGACTGCCGCCTGCGCTTCAAGCCCGAGGTGTGGGGCAAGCGCTCCCACCTCGTGCACGACCTCATCCGCCGCATGCTCGCCCGCGACCCCGCCCTCCGCATCACCCCCGCTGGTGTTCTTGGTACGCCCCCCTGTCCCTTTTCCCGCACCTCGTCCTGCAAGCTATGCTCCCTTTCAGTGATTCAAAGTGCTCTGCGTGTGCCATGCCATGCTCTGATGCATGCTCTTTCCTTTGCAGCTCATCCGTGGATGGCATCTGCAGCGCAAGCAGATGAGACGCAGCCGCAGTGACTACTGTAGCAATGACAGCAATGCAGCAGTGCCGGTGGTTGCCAAGCGTTCTGGAAGCAGCAAGTGCTTTAACATCCCTCGCCCCCTCACCATCACTTGTATTGGCCTCCCACCACAATGTCTATAGTTTGTGTTTCTTGTGCTTTGTAGTTGCCACAACAAGTGCACTTTTTGATGCCTTCCGTCACCTAGAGCTAGCCTCTTAGCATTAGCATAGGGTTATATGTGTAGGTATCATTTGGCTTGTACGTAGGTGCATGTACAATATAGAAAAAAAAATGTATTAAACCTAAAGTCTAAAATTGGGCGTCAACGTTTTGGCCTAAAATATGTATTAAACCCTCGAGCATGTTGTCGAGGTTGGAAAAAAAAAACAAATAGAAATACATTTCTAAATTTGACTATTGTGATGTCACATTAGTCAGAAACGGGGAATGCAATGAGGAGGCATTCCCATCTCATCTCTCGACAGGTCCACAAACTTGCCACCTAGTCTCATTTCATTTATCTCAAATTGAGTTCCCGCCCGTCCAGGCCCTCAGTTTTGTTTTGGGCTAGGCTGAAAAAACAGAGTTGGTACTCTGAAAATCAGACAAAAACACCACCCCACACTAGAAAATTTCGCATTTTCGCGTTTTTCCTCAAAACAATGTCTGATAAATCAGCCTTGATTGGAAAAAAAAAAACACACACACAAAAAAAATACAAAAACAAAGCAAAAAAAAAAATCTGAAAAAAAAAACATTTATTTCTACCAAATCTGAGAAAATAACTATGACTTCTGGGGGCCTGCGCCCGTCCCACCCCTGATATGCATAGACGCTTAGCTAGCTTGTCTACTTACTGTAGCTTTGCCTGCCCTTGTTACATCTCTGCCATTTAAATTGTGTCAGAAATAGTACGTAGGAATGGTTGACTAAGAAGCAAGGATGAGTACAACTACTAGGGTTGACCTAAAGTGTTGTACCCCTTAGAGTATGCCCCACTACAGCCTAGAGATAACAAATGCAATTTGACATACCCCCATAGGCAAAGTGGGGGATAGCAAATGTCAAGAAACTGAACGAGAATGAATGAACTAGGAACAAAGTGGGTACAAGTACTAACCCTAATTGGGTTGTACCCCTTATGCAAATACCAGTCAAGAAAATGCAAAGCAAGCTCAGGGTGGATCACAAAGTCACCACACACTCTGAGCACAAGCAAATGGCCAGAAGGCCAGTTCACATGCAGTGTCATATAAATGAGAACAAGCAGTACAGTGATCACAACCTAGCAAGTGGAAGCATGCAGGTATATATATATAGATCACAGTACAAGCAAAGTCACGTTGTGAGCAAGTGAGACGAAGCAGGAAGAAGGCCTAAAGCGGTACAGAAACGCTGATGATCACCATACTGAAGTGCCTTGGTGAATATATCAGCAGTGTTGGCCCAAATGGCCACGTAAGCAAGACGAAGCTGACCACGCTGCTGCAACTCTCGAACAAGGAAGTAACGCAGAGCGATGTGCTTCGTCCTGTGCTCCAGTCTGTGCTCCTGACACAAGGCAATCATGGCCTTGTTGTCTACGTACAGAACTGGAGGAGAACGAGGCTGCTCTCCCAATTCGGTCAGCAGGTAGGTGAGCCAGCGTAACTCCTGTGCAGCCATGGCCCCTGCGTAGATCTCAGCCTCACAACTGGAACTGAGAACAGAAGACGCGCGGGTAGACCGCCAAGAAACAGAGCCGGAGCCAAGGCTGAAAGTGTAACCCTGTGACGACCGCTGCGTAGCCAAGTCGTCAACCCAAGAAGCGTCTGCGTGTCCAGTGAGGACAACTGGACCCTGTCCTCCAAGCACGAGCCCCATGCCCGATGTACTGCACAAGTAACGCAACACCCTCTTAGCGGCCTCCCAGTGCTCTGGTCGGTGTCTCCCGGGCGCAACGTAGCGCGCCATGATGCTGAGAGGGTAAGCGAGGTCAGGTCGAGTACTCGTCTCTTCAGTGGCCGATGGCTCTACAAGGTGAAGCGACCGCCTGGATCACCACCAGTGTTCAAGGCGCGCTATGTGGCGAGAGGCTTCAGTCAGCGAGAGGGGGTGGACTTCTTCCAGACCTTTGCTCCAACTTCGAAGATGAGTACTCTTCGGGTGTTGCTGCACATTGCAGCCCAGCGCGACTACGAGTTCCACTCGTTGGACTTTTCCACCGCGTTCCTTCAGGGGAGCCTGCACGAGCAGATCTGGCTGCGTCGCCCGCCTGGCTTCACTGGCTCTTTCCCACCTGGGACCCAGTGGCAGCTGCGTCGACCAGTCTACGCCTTGCGTCAGGCTCCACGTGAGTGGCACGACACACTTCGTTCGACTCTTGCAGCGCTTGACTTCTTTCCGTCGTCTGCCGACCCGACACTGTTCGCCCGCCGTGGCTCGACCCCGTTCTTTGTCCTGGTCTACGTCGATGACCTGGTGTTCGTCACTCCCGACCGACGCGCGCTGGCCTCCGTGAAGGAGGAACTGCAGAGGAGACACACTTGCACTGACCTTGGTGAGCTGCAGCACTACCTTGGCCTGCAGATCACCAGGGACAGGGCAGCTCGCACCATTACGCTGACTCAGTCGCATATGGCGGAGTAAGGCCAGTGGAAGACGGAAGACTAAGAACCTGACGAAGTGCCGAGTCAGGCGGTGGTAGGGACAACTGCGGCTGCGGGTAGAAAAACGGTCGGCGCGGTGCAGCACCCGTACCGTCAGCAGCTCCAGCAGCTCCAGCACCTCCAGCTCTAGCACCTCCAGTACCTCCAGTACCACCAGCTCCAGAACCTCCAGTACCTCCAGCTCCAGCGCCTCTAGAACCTCCAGCTCCAGCACCTCCAGCACCAGCAGCTCCAGTACCTCCAGCACCAGTAGCTCCAGTACCTCCAGCACCAGCAGCTCCAGTACCTCCAGCACCTCCAGCTCTAGCACCTCCAGCACCAGCAGCTCCAGCACATCCAGCACCAGCAGCTCCAGTACCTCCAGTACCTCCAGCTCTAGCACCTCCAGTACCAAGAGCTCCAGTACCTCAAGCACCTCCAGCTCTAGCACCTCCATCACCAGTACTCCAAGCTCCAGGAACCCGGCCCCGCCAAACAACCCAGTCGCGAAGCTGCTGAGGCGAGAGGGTCTCTTGTCGACGAGACTGCTGCTGCTGTCCAACGCCAGAACCCCCAGCAGGAGCACCCACGACTCCACCACCACTAGGACTCGCAGCACCCCCAGTGTCAGCACCCCCAGAACCGGCACCCCCAGAACCAGCACCCCTAGAGTCAGCAACCTCAGGACCAGCACCTCTAGAGTCCGCACCCCCAGTGTCACCACCCTCAGCAGCACCAGAGTCGGCGAAGGCGGCCGAGGCGGAAAACCAGGAGGGGTCTCCAAGCGCGGGGAGCGGCGAGTCGCCGCCGTGTCGTCAGCAGCGGGGTCACCCCTCTCAGTCGGGCCAGAGGTGTCAGAGGAGACCTCCAAAGGCTCAACCAAGGGGGGTGGGTCGACCTGAGACACACCTGAGGGAGCAGGACCCTGTGGGGGGAGGGGTTCTACCGGGGGGGGGGGACCTGGGACCAGGAAGAGGGGCGGCGGGGAGAGTGGGGAAGACGCGTGCGGGTGGAGACGGTAGAAGCAGACCGACTCGTCAAAGGTGACGTCCTGTGAGGACAGGACGCGGCGCGAGGCAGGGTGGTAAAACTGCCAGGGCGGGCCGTCGGTGGGGAAGGGTCGGCGGCAGAACGACGGCAGAGAAGGGTCGGTGCGCAGAAACAGTGACAGGTCAGCAGTCGAAGGAGCAAAACTAAGAGCCGCAAGTGTCGTCCTCAGTGTGTCGTACCACTTGCGGGGCGCCTGATGGAGACCATAGACTAGCCGCCGGAGGCTCCACTAGGTACCCTCAGGAAACGACCCAGTGAAGACAGGTGGGCGGTGCAGCCAGATCTCCCTGTGAAGGCTGCCCTGCAAGAAAGCTGTTGAGAAGTCGAGGGAGTGCAACTCGTAGTCACGCTGTGCTGCAACGTGCAGTAGCACCCAAAGAGTGGTCATCTTCTGGGTGGGGGAGAAGGTCTGGAAGAAGTCGACCCCCTGACGCTGACTGAAGCCTCGTGCAACGTAACGCACCTTGAAGACAGGCAGAGAACCTGGCGGCCGCTTCACCCTGCAAATCCACATGCCATCGACCATGGTCGCCCCCGGAGGGAAAACTGCGTCAACGTAGGTGTCTGTGGACTTCCAGGATGCCATCTCTGCGTCCATGGCTGTCTGCCACTAAGAGGAGTACTGACCCGTGATCGCCTCTGCGTAAGAGCGTTGGGTCGGGATGTCCAGTGCATCCGGGTCTCCCTCAGGGGCAAGCAACATGGCAGCGAGATGAGGTACAGCAGCCGCGAGGCACTCCAGCTCAAACTGCCTGTCCTCAAAGACGTCACAGCCAAGGGCAAGATCAACCCCGACGGACGGAGGACATTTAGATCCAGAAACTAGACTCGCGAAGTAGTCACGGCGACACGCAGCAGCAAAGTCAATGAGCTCAGTGACTAACGGCAGGACAACACGCTGTGGAGCAGAGGAAGGACGAAGGGTCATAACGTGAGTGCCGGGGACAGGTGGTGGACAAACACGGCGAGCACGAGGTGTACGAGCAACAGGTGAGGTAGGACGCGACGCAGGCTCTCGACGCTCAGTCAGGGAGTCAGTCAACTCAGTGTAACGAGAAGGAGCAGGCAGGGGGTAGTTAGGCAGTAACTGTGTCTGAGACGGGTCAGTTGGTGGACACAGAAGAGGAGGAGTAGGCCCAGCGACAGACGGCTCTGCAGAGTTAGACTGAGGTCGAAGAACTTGGTGAAGTGCCGAGCCAGGTGGTGGAGCCAGGTGCTCCCAGAAGAACGGTCGCCGCGGCCGCTGATGCACAGCACCCCCAGAACCTCCAGATTCCGAATCTCCAGCACCAGAACCACCAGCACCTCCAGCTCCAGCACCTCCAACACCAGATTCACCAGCACCTCTAGCTCCAGAACCTCCAGCACCAGAACTACCAGCACCTCCAACTCCAGCACCTCCAGCACCTCCAACTCGAGAACCTGCAGCACCAGAACCACCACCAAAGAGACGGTAGTAACGGACCGACTCGTCAAAGGTGACGTCGCGGGAGGACAGGACGCGGCGCGTGACCGGGTGGTAAAATTGCCAGTCAGGCGCGTCGTCAAGAAAGCCAAGGAAGACGCAGCGAACGTTGCGAGGGGAGAGCTTGCCCGCGGTAGAATCGCAGACAAGGGCAAGCGAACCCCAGACCCGAAACGAAGACGCATCGCCACCCTCCCCTATCCAAAGAAGGGTAGGCGAGGTCTCCGGCTGGGAGACACGGGGCCAGAGGTTGAGCTGATGCGCGGCGTATCGGACCGCAAACGACCACAAAAAATGGGGAGTAGCCGCATGATCCACGTTGCAACCTCCATGATCAAGCCAATGCGGCGCTCAGCAATCCCATTCTGCTGTGGAGAGGCCGGAATCGTGAACGACTGGGTGATGCCCTACTCACGACAAATGTCGTCGAGGAGCCTAGAGGAAAAATCACCTCCACGGTCAGAGTGTAGACGGAGCACCGGGAGGTCCTGGCGGAACGGTGCGCTAAGCTGGCGACGAACAGCGCGGATCCAAGGGATCGAAACATCACGGACGTCTCCCTTGCGCTGCAAGGGAAATACGGTGGTGTAGCGCGTGAAGTCATCAACGACCAGCAGAAAGTAGCGCTTCCGGTGTGGCCCAGAGACAGGGGCGGGGCCCCACACGTCCTTGTGCAGCGTCTGCAGAGGAGCAATGGTCGGAGGAAACGAGGAGGAGTGAGGAGCGGCGTGCTCCCGCCCCTCGACGCAGGGAGTGCATGGCGACGCAAGCGACCATGGGAGTGGGGGAGTCCAGAGACAAGGAGACGCGAGTGCATGCTGCGGAGGCGTGGCAGAAAGGGGCCAGAGGAGGGACGGGTGCGTGAGTAACCGACACGAGCAAGACGCAGCTACCTGAACGGACACGGCCACATGTGCAGACTCAGTGTGCAGTATGTAAAGGCCAGACCCAAGCCTCCGAGTGAACGTGGCGAGGTGGTCGCCAGTCACTGTGTCCGTACAGATCACCACGAGCTCGCCTCTAGGAGTGGTAGTAGTGACCAACATATCTGGGAGGACAGAGGTACTCACCAAGTTCGTAGCGAACGAGGGGAGGTGGAGACCTGTGAGGGATCCAGAGGGGGCTGCCGGACACGAGAGAACAGTGGAGCCGCGTGCAACAACTGGGCCAGAGGAGGGGTCGGCCAGGGTGACAGGGACTGGTGCTGTGAGCGGTGTGACTGTGGTGCAGTCGTGGAAGAAGCAGCGAGACGCGCCTGAGTCCAGCGTGAAGGTGTGCAAATCCTCCACAGGAACTGCACCTGTGCTAGCAAACTCACAAGCACCTACACTCGCCTCCTCGACACAGGCTAGCGACGAGAGCTGTTGCTGCTCCCAGAACAACGGACGCCGCCGATTCTGCTGCTGCTGCAGCCCACCCCGAGAACCTCCGCCCCCACACGCTAGCAACGACAGGTCGGGGAGGAGAAACGGCAGCGCAAGACGGCCTAGGGTGGCAGGAGAGAGGGAGGAGTAGTGCCTAACCACAGCGTCGTAGAAAGTCTGGGCCGACGTCACCTGACGAAAGTGGACCCTCTGATCGAGCGACAGGTGAGCGCGGACAGCAAGCTGGGCGACAGCGTTTCGTGCCGTCCACCGTGTGCAGGCAATGCGGTCCGCCCGGTCCGCCTGGTACCACCGCTGCATTTCCTCCCCAGCGGTAACAGCAGGCTCAGTTGGAGTCGTGGGGGCCTGAAGGGACCCCAACGTGTGCTCGAACAGGGGGACGCCATCGAAAATGATACAGGTGCAAGCGCTCTAGCCGCAACTCAAACTCGAGAAGGCGCCCGTCTGTGTCAACCGCTAGGACAGTGATAATCGCCATGATAGAAACTAGGTCAGGCAGCATCACTAGGATCTAGGCATCGACTGCGGCTCGGGATACAGCCCGGCAGTAGGTGAGCTGTAGCAGGGCCCGGTGCAGCAATGGCGCTCGGGCGGTAGCGGCACACAAGCAGCAGTGTCGGGCAAAAGCAGCGGCGGTGCAGTGCACGGGCGGCAGCGGCTGCCGTGTGGTGCATGGGCGGCAGCAATGCATGGGCAGCAGTGGCGCACAGGCAGCGCACGGGCTGCGGAAGGGCGGCGCACGGGCAGCAGCACGTGGGGCAGCAGGGCGCGCAGTGCAGCAGCGCGCAGGGCAGCAGGGCGCACAGGGTAGCAGGGCGCGTAGGGCAGCGGGGCGCGCAGGGCAGCGGGGCACGCAGGGCAGCGGGGCGCGCAGGGCAGTAGGGCCCGCAGGGCAGCAGGGCAGGCGCAGTTGGGCAGGCGCGGCACACGAACAGCAGCGCGCGAGGCAGCAGGGCGCGCGGTGCAGCAGCGCGCAGGGCAGCGGGGGCGCGCTGGGCAGGAGGGCGCGCAGGGCAGCTGGGCGCGCAGGGCGCGCAGGGCAGCGGAGGGCGCTGGGCAGCGGGGCGCGCAGGGCAGCGAGGCGCGCAGGGTACGCAGGGCAGCGGGGTGTGCAGTGCACGCAGGGCAGCAGGGCGCGCATGGCGCGCAGGGCAGCGGGGCGCGCGGGGCAGCGTGGCGCGCGATGTAGTGGCGCGCAGGGCAGCGGGGCGCGCAGTGCAGGGACGCGCAGGGCAGCGGGGCGCGCTAGGCAGCAGGGCGCGCAGGGCAGTGGGGCGCGCAAGGCGCGTAGGGCAGCGGGGCACACTGGGCGCGCAGGGCAGCGGGGTGCGTGGGGCAGCGGGGCGTGCGGTGCAGTGGCGCGCAGGGCAGCGGGGCGCGCTGGGCAGCAGGGCGCGCAGGGCAGCGAGGCACGCGGGGCAGCGCGGCGCGCTGGGCAGCAGGGCAGCAGCTCGCTGGGCAGCAGCACCCGGGGCAGCGGGGCGCGAGGTGCAGCGGCGCTCAGGGCAGCGGCGCGCGGGGCAGCAACATGCGGGGCAGCGGCACGCTAGGCAGCGAGGCGCGCGAGGCAGCGGCGCGCAGGGCAGTGGCGTGAGGGGCAGCGGCGCGCAGTGCAGCGGCACGCGGGGCAGGTCAGGGCAGTCAGAGTGTGCAAGGCAGGGCAGCGTGGGAGCGTGGGGCAGTACAACGACAGCAGCAGTGACGGGCAGTAGGAACGGGCAGTAGGCACGGACCTAACTCGATGATACCATGTTAAGAAGTACGAACAGCGGAATGGAATGCACTATCAAGGGTTGGATACAAGTAGCAAACCCTAGCAATGTTGTACTCCCTATAGCATGCCTCACTATAGCCTAACACAAATATACCTATGTTTTGACACCACCCCCCGCATATAAGACCAGTGGGACTCTTAAACCGGAGGGTCCTATATACCGGAAAATACGGTACCATCTTGCAAAAGCTGTGCTAAGGAACATTGTATTTGTTCCAATTTTTTAAGATGAGTATGGGACATCAGCTGCAAGAACAACTTAGCAAATGAGTGAAGAGGAAGAAACAGTTCCACACATGCGGTATACCTCAACTCCCACTCCCACTCCTTTGTCTTCATCCACGGAAACTATTTCCATTGATTTATCTGCCTCTTGTGCTAGTCATTGAAGTCTCTCTACTTACAACGCTTTTGTCGCCAACTAGATCTGTATCGATGCACGCACACAAGACACGTAACGTCTGAAGAAATATGGCAGTGTAGGTTAGTGTCAAATGTTGATATTTGTGATAGGCTGTAGTGAGGTGCTCCTTAGAGAGTACAAACATGTTAGGGTTTCCTATTTGTACCCCAACTCCTTTCTAGTCAATCATTCCGTTGTTTGCTAACATTGAGATGGTATCACGAGTAGGTTTCGTCCTCACCTAGCCTAGCCTAGCGCGCCTCCGCGCCTCTCCGTCCTAAGCGCCGTGCCCTCCGCGCCCTCCGCGCCCTCCGCGCCCCTAGCCCGCGCCCTCGCGCCCCTAGCCCGCGCCCTCGCGCCCCTCGCCGTCGCGCCCTCGGCCGGCGCCCGTCGCGCCCTTAGCCTGTCGTGTCAAAACATTATACATGTTCATATTGTGTAGGCTATAGTGGGTTTAGCCTTAGGGGGTACAACATTGCTAGGGTTTCCTACTTGTATCACCCTGCTGCCTAGTTTTCACACATTCTCGTTCAGTTCTACATTCTAACATGGTATCACGAGCCTAGGTTGCTACCTAGGACCGCTTTCTCCTACGGGCCCACTATTCCGCTAGACGCGCCCTCGTGCGTCCTACCTTACGTGCGCCCTCGTGCGCCTTTCTATACTCGTGCGCCCTCGTGCGCCCTCGTGCGCCCTCGTGCGCCCTACCTTACGTGCGCCCTCGTGCGCCCCCGTGCGACCCGCCCTTCGGTCTGCCCGCGTGCCGTCCTGCAGCCCTCGCGCTGCCTCCTGCAAGCTAGTACGGCCCTCGAGCCGCCCCTGCAGGTCCGTCAGGCCCCCGAGCCGCCTCTGCAGACCCGTCAGGCCCCCCCCGAGCCGCCTCTGCAGGCCCGTCAGGCCCGAGAGCCGCCCCTGCAGCCAGCGCGCTGCCCTGCCGAGCCGCGTGTCGCCCGTGGGCGCTGCCTCTGCCCCGTCGTGCTGCCCTGGGGAGCCGCGCGCGACCCCCGCTGTCCCGTCGCGTCGCCCTGGGGAGCCGCGCTCGGCCCCCGCTGCCCTGTCGCGACGCCCTGGGGAGCCGCGCTCGGCCCCCGCTGCCCTGTCGCGACGTCCTGGGGAGCCGCGCTCGGCCCCCGCTGACCCGTCGCGACGCCCTAGGGAGCCACGCGCGACCCCCCCGCTGCCCCGTCGCGACGCCCTGGGGAGCCGCGCGCGCCCCCCCCCCCCCCCCCCCCCCCCCGCTGCCCCGTCGCGGCGCCCTGGGGAGCCGCGCGCCGCCCCCCCCCCCCCCCCCCCCCCCCCCCCCCCCCCCCCCCCTCGCTGCTGCCCGAGCCACCCTGCAGCCCGCGAGCCGCCTCTGCAGCGCCGAGTGCGCTCTGCCAAACCCTAAAATAAATAATTAATTATATATATAAAAAAAAAAGGGAGCAGCTGCCCCTGGCCCCTGGAGCAGCCGCCCCTGGAGCAGCCGCCCCTGCAGCAGCCGCCCCTGCAGCAGCTGCCCCTGCAGCAGCCGCCCCTGGACCTCTGCAGCCGCCCCTGGCCCCTGGAGCAGCCGCCCCTGCAGCTGCCGCGGAGCCCTCGCCCTGCAGTGGTAGCGGCCTCGCCGTTACCACCGTCGTACGCCTGCCCTTCTCGCCACTGGTGAGCACTGCCCTGCCCGTATTGCTGTTACTGCTGCTCCTGCTGCTACTGCTCTTTCTACTTCTACTGCTGCTCCTGGCATGGCCAGATGCAGCTCCAGCGCCGTCCGCGTGAGTCCCTCACGCCCCAACAGCTTCGTGAGTGGTATGCTGGTTGGGGTTGTAGGGGTGGCCGCGCTGCTGCTACTACTACTGCTGCTACTACTGCTACTGCTGCTCCTGGCGGTGGCCAGATGCAGCTCCCGCGACGTCCGAGTGAGTCCCTCACGCCCCAGCAGCTTCGTGAGTGGTACGCTCAGCGTGGAGGGTCACGGGGTACTGCTCGCTACCCGTACGTCATTCGCACTGGTGCTCGGACTGGTCAGCCTTGCGGGACGTTTGGTCACACAGAGTCCCGCTGCTTCGCCCGTCTGAGCGACGCCTGGCGTACAGAGTTTGGCGACGCGGCTGAGCTCCCCGACTGGGTGGAGCTGCTTAGGCAGAGGGTAGATATCTATGCTCTTGACTATGATGCTATCCTCACTGCCATGTATGCATTTCCTACTAGTGCTGAGAGTGCCTGTCACCTGTGTGTGCCGCCTGACCCCGGTATCCAGTCTGCTGCTCTAGGTACTGGTGAGGCTGCTGCACTAGGTGCTCGTGTGTCTGTTGCCCCAGGTGCTGGTGAGGCTGCTGCTCTAGGTACTCGTGAGTCTGCGCCCTCTGGTACTGCGTCTACTGAGGCACTGCACACCTTCACACTGGACTCAGGCGCTTCCCGCTGTTTCTTTCGTGACCGCACTGCCCTTGAGCAGCTTGCTCGGCCGGTTGCAGTCTCCCTCGCTGACCCCTCTGGGGGTCCGGTCATTGCGACCTCCTCTACTGTTCTCCCTTGTCCTGCGGTCCCGTCGGGCACTCTGTCAGGTCTCTACCTCCCCTCGTTCTCTACGAACTTGGTGGCGGGTAGTGCGCTCCAGGACGGGGGTGTCCACCAGTTTACCCCTGCCTACGAGCGTGTGACACACTGCACGTGCGCTCGGACGGGCCGCCACCTGGCTACCTTCACTCGGCAGCCGGGGTCGGACCTGTACACACTGACCACTGAGTCCCCACAGGTAGCTGCGTCTGCGTCTGCGTCAGGTCAGCTGTCTGCCCCCTGCTCGTGTCGCTCTCTGGCACACGAGACTGTCCTCTGGCACCACCGTCTTGGTCACCCGTCAGTGCAGCGCCTTCGTGCCATGCACAACCGGTACCTTGTCTCTGGTCTTCCCAGGGTTCTCCCTCCACTCCCACCCTCGCCTGCTCCTCCCTGCCTTCCCTGTGTCGAGGGGCGGCAGCGCGCCGCTCCTCACTCCTCCTCGTTTTCCCCGACGACTGCTCCCTTGCAGATGCTCCACATGGACGTGTGGGGCCCAGCCCGCGTCCGTGGACAGGGTCAGGAGAGGTACTTCCTGATCGTTGTTGACGACTACTCGCGCTACACCACGGTCTTCCCCTTGCGCACCAAGGGTGAGGTCCCTGATGTTTTGATCCCTTGGATCCGCGCTTCTCGTCTCCAGCTCAGTGAGCGGTTCCACTCGGACTTTCCTGTCCTGCGTCTGCACTCTGACAGAGGTGGTGAGTTCTCCTCTGACCTCTTGGCAGCCTACTGTGCGGAGCACGGCATCCGCCAGTCGTTCACGCTTCCGGCCTCTCCACAGCAGAATGGGGTTGCTGAGCGCCGCATTGGTTTGGTCATGGAGGTCGCTCGTACCTCCTTGATCCATGCGGCTGCCCCCCACTTTCTGTGGCCGTTTGCGGTCCGATACGCTGCGCATCAGCTCAACCTCTGGCCCCGTGTCTCCGTTCCGGAGACTTCGCCGACACTGCGTTGGACGGGAGAGGTTGGCGATGCGTCGCGTTTTCGGGTCTGGGGATCCCGAGCTTTTGTTCGCGATACGTTCGCGGACAAGCTCTCCTCCCGCGCTGTTCCCTGTGTCTTCCTTGGCTTTGTCCCGGACGCGTCTGGTTGGCAGTTTTACCACGCCACCTCGCGCCGTGTCCTGCCCTCTCAGGACGTCACTTTTGACGAGTCCGTGCCCTACTACCGCCTCTTCCCCTACCGCACTGCCCCGCTCCCCCCCCCGCCTCTCTTCCTCGCGCCAGGTGCTGCTGTGGTAGACCCCCTCCCCCCTCAGGGTGCCGCTCCCTCAGGTGTGTCCCAGGTAGACCCGGTTGAGCCTGTCGAGGTAGCTGTCGACTCTCGTCCTGCCAGGGGTGCTGAGCCTGAGCGTGCGGAGCCTGGGGTTGCGGAGTCTGGGGGTGCTGAGCCTGGGGGTGCGGGGTCTGGGGGTGCGGAGCCTGCGGGTGCTGAGTCTGGGGGTGCTGAGCCTGGGGGTGCGGAGCCTGCGGGTGCTGAGTCTGGAGGTGCTGAGCCTGGGGGTGCTGAGCCTGGGAGTGCTACGTCTGAGAGTACTGAGCCTGAGCGTGCTGCACCTGGGGGAGGCCTCTCCTCGCAGCAGCTGCGTGAGTGGTACTTACAGTACTGCAGCCTCAGGAGAGGTGCTTCTGGAGCTCGGAGTGGTGCCGGATCTGGTGCTAGTGCTTCCCCTCCTAGGCGGGAGCTGCCCTCTCCCCAGCAGCTCCGAGAGTGGTACGCTAGGCGCTGCAGTCTCCGGAGTGGCGCTCCCGGTGTCGTGGACTCTGGAGCTTCTGAAGTTACTGGAGGTGCTGCTGCTGCTGGCGGTGCGGCTGGCGCTGCTAGAGGTGCTACTG